TTAAATATATATACAAAAATTAGCCGGGTGATGGTGCATTCCTCTAGTCCCAGCACTCGGGAGGCTGAGGCAGTAGGATCGCTTGAGCCCAGGAGTTTGAGGTTGCTGTGAGCTGGCTGACGCCATGGCACTCACTCTAGCCTGGCAAACAAAGCAAGAGTCTGTCTCAAAAAAAAAAAAAAAAAAAAAAAAATGACATGGCTCAATTTTATTTTTTCAGACAGTGCTGCTCTAGATTGATCTTATATAAGTTGTACTCTGTCTAGAGCTATAGTGACATGAAAGGAGGTCATGGAGATCCAAAGGAATTATGAGAAAGATTAAAGACTTAAACAGCAGAAAAGTTGTTTCCGGCTGGAGTGGTGCCATGGCGTCAGCCTGCTCACAGAACCTCAAACTCCTGGGTCAAGCAATCCTGTTGCCTCAGCCTCCAAGTAGCTGGGACTACAGGCATGTGCCACCATGGCGGCTAATTTTTTCTATATATATTAGTTGGCCAATTAATTTCTTCCTATTTATAGTAGAGACGGGGTCTCCTCTTGCTCAGGCTGGTTTTTTTTTTTTTTATGGCTTATGAGTTTTATTTCTTCTACATTTTCTAGAGTAGACAAAGTGTTGTCCCATTTTGTTACTACATTTTCTTTTTTTGAAAATGATAATAAACATGTTTTAATCTATTACATATATTCAAACAATAAATAAACATATCCAACACCCTTCACAAACACTAGATATAGATTCTAAAGACAGCAAAATGTTTACAAAAATGTGTTTTCTCATTTTAGTATATTCATCTAAATGACAGTACTAACTTTTGCTATAGACTAGTTACTTATCTCAAAATATTTTAAGATAGATTGTATTTCCTTTACAGAACGTTTTTAAGTGTTGAAACTAAAATACCACAGGAATTAGTGGTCCTTTAGAATTATAATTTCCCAGAGTCCTTTTGATTTCCTAAGTACTTGTGAACTGTTATTTTTTTTTTTTTCGGCATATTATGGGTACAAATTTAAGGTTCATAATGCCCATTCCCCTCCCCCACAAGTCTGAGTCTCCAGCATGACCATCTCCCAGATGGTGCACATCTCACTCATTATATATGTATATACCTCCCTCCCCCTGCCCAATACCCTATTACTGCAGTACCTATGTGACCACTTAGGTGCTACTCAGTTAATCAATTTGCTGGTGGTATATGTGGTGCTTGTTTTTCCATTCTTGGGAAACTTCACTTAATAGTATGGGTTCAGCTCTAACCAGGAAAATTAAGAATGTGCTATATCACCATTTTTCTTAGAGCTGAATAGTACTCTATGGTATACATATACCACTATTAATCCATTCTTGGATTGGTGGGCACTTGGGCTGTTTCCACAGCCTTGAAATTATGAATTGTGCTGCTATAAACATTGAGTGCAGGTGTCTTTTTTGTAGAGTGTCATTGGATCTTTTGGATAGATGCCAGCAATGGGATTGCTGGATCAAATGGTAGATTCACTTGTATCGCTTTAGTATCTCATATTGCTTTGACAGAGGTTGAACTAATTTGCAGTCCCCCAGCAGTGTAGGAGTATAGAATTTTTATTTCCATTGATTTCTTCTTTATGAAGTAATCATTTAGTAGGAGGTTGTTTAATTTCCATGTTTTTGTGTAGAAATGTGAGTTTCTGTTACGGTTGATTTTACTTTTATTCCACTGTGATCTGAGAAGATACATGTATGATTTTTTTTATAAATTTCTTGAGGTTACTTTGTGTCCTAGGATATGGTCAATCTTAGAGATGTCCCGTGAGCTGATGAGAGAACGTATAGTCAGTGGATTTGGGTAGAATGTTCTGTAAATGTCAGTCAGACCCAATTGTTCTAGAGTTTTGTTAAGTCCATTATTTCTTTATCATTTTCTGTTTGGAGGATCTGTCTTGTGCCGTCAGTGGGGTGTGAATCTCCGGTGATTATGGAGTTGCTATTAATCCATTTGCTTAGGTCCAGTAAAGTTTGCTTATGAATCTGGGTGCACCTAAGTTGAGTGCAGTATATATTTAAAATTGTTATCTTTTTTGTGAACTGTGCCTTCACTTATATAATGACCTCTTTGTCTTTCACTACTTTGTTGGTTTAAAAACTAAATCGTCTGAAATTAGAACTGCCACACCAGCCTTCTTTTGGCTTCCATTGCTGGAATACTGATCTACCCCTTTTACTTTTATCTATATGCATCCTTGCAGGTTAGATGTGTTTCCTGAAGACAGCATATACTTGGGCCTGTATCTGTATCCATCCCACACTATAACTCCATATGCATAGTGGCGAGTTTCACAACACTAAAATCTCAATTGGGCAGAACTACCTAAAGTAAAGGTATACCAAAATTCCTCAGTATCATTCCGTTCACTCCCAACCTCAACACACCACCTCGGCCCACACCACACTCGGGATGTTCGATCTAGCTATACTCTCCCTCCCTCTGACACGCCAATCTGCGTGACCATCCCTGGCCCCCATCTAATCTTGGTGCAGGTTTGCGTCATCCACAACAACCGCACCCACTTTGAGAAACCAAAACCTTTTATCCGAAATACATTTGACAACCCACTGCAAGTTGTGGCATACATGGGTGCCATGAACCATGATGCCAACTACAGCTTTCAGGTCAGGACACGGAGTCTCTACTTTAAGCTTTGCTCAGTGCTTAAAGCTACTTAAGTTCTTGGGGGTTTCACTCTATTTTTATCCCACTGCTTACTCTGCCCCTTGTCCACTTCCCACTTTAAAAAGCATCTTCCCCCCTATTCCTGGGCTTTGTTTTTTTAAATAGTTCTTTAATGATCACAGTCCATTCTTTTATCTGTCATCTTTGTGTTCCTATGTGTCCTAGTGCAGTCTTTCATCAACCCACCTTAATTTCTAAGTTAGGAGATATTACTGTAGATTATTTTGTACTGACTGAGTTTGCCCTGGAGTAAGAAGGAAATGAACCTAAACTCTGGACCTACTGTAATAATACTAGAATTGCCCTCTGTTTCTTCCAGGTTCAGTGTGGCTTAATTGTGGTGGCCTATAAAGACGGATCACCTGCCCACTCACATCTCATGGATGCGGAGCTTTGTTCCCAGTACTGGGCCAAGTGGCTTCTTCGACTAGAAGAATACACAGAAAAGAAAAAGAATCAGAATATGCAGAAATGAGATGGGGGAGCAGATGCTGTGTGAGAACATTCAGCAGTTGGGAAGATAAGATTGCTGGTTACTGTAATCTGAAAACGTGCATAGGTGCCACCGGGTCTGAGTGCTACATTAACGCAAACAGAAGTATTAATTTGTTGAAATGTATTGCTACCAAAAATCTGAAAAGCCAGGAAAGTCTAGATTTAAAGAGCTGGACTTCAGCACGTAGCATACCAACTATTCTACATCTATTATTTACCTGAAAAGAGGGCAAGCGGGATGGGCGGTCATGCTGGGGACTCTTATGCTCCCTTGGTAGACCGTTTTGTGTCCTGGGCAGGATGCCCAGTCTTTGAACTGAGATTGGAAGGCAGTGAGGCTGAGTGTGCCAAGCCTGTCCCCAGGGTTCACCGGGAGGAGAGAGGCCGCACGGCCCTAGGGTGTGTGGAAGGAGAAGACACTGGCCAACTACCACTACCAGTGCAACTTCCTAAAACTTGTTTCATATGTTGGAGTTGTCTATATATTTCAGTTGGGGAAAACAACTAACAATTTGACCTTTTTTAAAAATAAATATTCAGCCTCACGTAAATGTTGCTGTCTGGAAAAGATGGACATATTCCAAGCCGTTGGCAGTACGCCTTGGCATACCACCAAATAACCCCCAGAAGTAGCCAGACCCATGTTTGCAAATCATAATTACAGGTGTTTTGGTAGCTATTTCTGGCGTGAGTCAAAGGATCATGTATATGGAGAAAATTTATTGTATGTAGACGTTTTCAGCTATAGGGGAACAATAATATATCCATTGTTTTCTGTTTGACACATAATAAAAATTATTAGTTATCATTTGGTTTGGGAAACTTAAATAAATGCCCATTATAGCCTTGAGGGAGGGTTTCCTATTTTATGGAGTGAGTCTGTTAGCATTTATTTTAAAGTTGCTGCTTTAAAATAGTAGGGTGCTAAATGACTTTTTTTTTTTTTTTTTTTTTGAGACAGAGTCTCACTTTGTTGCCCAGGCTAGAGTGAGTGCCGTGGCGTCAGCCTGGCTCACAGCAACCTCAATCTCCGGGGCTCAGCGATCCTACTGCCTCAGCCTCCCGAGTAGCTGGGATTATAGGCATGTGCCACCATGCCCGGCTAATTTTTTGTATATATATTTTTAGTTGGTCAATTTATTTCTATTTTTGGTAAAGACAGGGTCTCGCTCAGGCTGGTTTCGAACTCCTGACCTTGAGCAATCCGCCCGCCTCGGCCTCCCAAAGTGCTAGGATTACAGGCGTGAGCCTCCACGCCCAGCCTAAATGACTTTTTTATTAGCCATTATTTGTGAGAAATAAAATATAAGAAATGAGTAATGAGGCTTTTAGTTTTCTTTTTATTTCCATTTGTGTGTGTATAGGATAATTTCATAAACCTACAAGAGGTTTGGACTTTGTGTTTTGGTTTTGGTTTAGGTTTTTTTTTGTTTGATTGTTTGTGGGTTTTTTGTCTCATCTTGTCGCCCAGGCTGGAGTGCAGTGGTACAGTCAGCTCACTGCAGCTTCAAATTCTTGGGCCTAAGTGATTCTCCTACCTTATTAGCCTACCCAGTAGCTAGGAGTATAGGTGTATGACACTATACCAGCTTTTCTTATTATTATTCTGTAGAGATGGGGATATCACTATGTGCCCAAGCTATGGACTTTGTGGCTTTGGTATGTGTTCTGTGTAAATGCATAAAAGAAGATGTCCTTGCTAAGCTCTCCACTATGGTCACCTGGCAAAGAAAGCAAGGTTCGGATAGGAGGCAGGAACATTAGGGGGACCTTTGTGTTAACTCTGTATACTTCTGAATTTATATGGGGTTTTTGTTTTGTTTTGTTTTTTTGAACAGCATATATTCCTGTAGTCTGTAATTTCCAAAGTCAAAAATGAAGTGAGACAGTTAAAAGTTGTACTAACAGATTTTGCCCCATTGCTCTGAGGAAGCCTCACTAACCCTTAGAATTTAGGAGACTAGACCCAGCAAAATTTCATTTTTATAGAGTTCTTCTCTAGTGTTAATACAAATTCAACTCAGACCTGTCACTTTGTACCATGAGTCTCCTAAGCTAACGGTCACCTGAAGACTTCCTCAGAAGAAGCTGACCAGGAAGATGTGGTTGGTATGAGAACAATGAAGGTAAATCCCGGGCAGGTTCTCTTGAACTGCTCAAGAGCTCACCACTTTCTCATAAGAATCCTGATACTCCTCAGATTTCACCAAATGAAGAAGTATCAATCTCCTGAGAGGTAAACATCAAGGAAAAACAGATACTGTCACTACAGAGGCATAGGAGGAGAAAGTCGAATTTGAACTCCTAAATGAGTTGAAATTTTTCAAGAATTGAGGTGTATATCACTAATTATCAGGTACCACCACTTCCCCTGAGTGCTATATGGCATATTAGACTCCAGTGACATGAAACTGAGGATTCACAGTAAGAAGAGAGTCTAATTAAGTATAATTAACTTTTTATTTATAATTTTTTTTATTTTTGAGACAGAGTCTCACTCTGCTGCCTCAGCTTCCCGAGTAGCTGGGACTACAGGCATACACCCCCATGCCTGGCTAATTTCTTCTCTATATATTTTTAGTTGTTCAGCTAATTTCTTTCTTTTTCTTTTCTTTTTTTTTTTTTTGTACAGAGGGGGTCTCGCTTTTGCTCAGGCTGGTCTGGAACTCCTGGCCTTGAGTGATCCTCCTTCCTTGGCCTCCCAGAGTGCTAGGATTACAGGGGTGAGACACTGCAGCCGGCTTAATTAAATGTTTTTAAAAGGAGGTGTATATTGCTCTTCTGAGGAGGCTTCCTCACAGAAGTGCAGAATATAGTCTTTAGTTTTGAGACACTCTACTAGATTCAAAGCTAACTGCATTCTCTTTTCCTCTGCAGTTCTGCCCATCTTTATTAATGCATTTAACATCTAACAAAAGCTCTGTGCTGACACAAAAACCAATTTTCAACTCTGCCCCCAATTATGGCTTCCCCCTCTCACACCTGGCCTCTTCCTCAGAGCCTGATAATCTAAGGACATTAACCTCTATAAATCTATTATAATTCTGGGAAAACATGTCACCATATGACCTATGGTTTCATATGTGTTGACCCAGGTAAATATAGGAAGAGGTTTAGACATAAGTCAGTGTGTTTCTAGGTAACCAATTTGCCTACCAGCCTTAAAAGGAGTTAGACAGGAATAATTTGTTTTAATCACTGCAGCTTTCCACCTGAGCAATTAAACATTTGATTATAACCTACCCTATGCTCTCACCTTCCCATCCTAACAAAAAAGTGAAGCAAGGGATTAGTTAGGGGAAAAATCTTTTTTTAAGAAAAAAATAGGCCAGGAATAGTGGCTCAAGCCTGATATCGCAGCATTTTATTTTATTTTATTTTATGACAGAGTCTCACTTTATTGCCCAGGCTAGAGTGAGTGCGGTGGCGTCAGCCTAGCTCACAGCAACCTCAAACTCCTGGGCTCAAGCAATCCTGCTGCCTCAACCTCCCGAGTAGCTGGGATTACAGGCATGCACCACCATGCCCGGCTAAGTTTTTCTATATATATTAGTTGGCCAATTAATTTCTTTCTATTTTTAGTAGAGACGGGGGTCTCACTCTTGCTCAGGCTGGTTTCGAACTCCTGACCTGGAGCAATCTGCCGGCCTCAGCCTCCCAGAGTGCTAGGATTACAGGCGTGAGCCACCGTGCCCAGCCTATTGCAGCATTTTAGGAAGCCCAGGCGGGAGGATTGCTTGAGCCCAGGAGTTGGAGACCCCGTCTCTACAAGAAAAAGAAAAAGAAGCACAATTAGCCAGGTGTGTGCCTGTAGTCTTAGCTACTCCTGAGGTTGAGGTGGGAGGATCACTTTAGGGTACAGTGAGCTATGAGTGCATCACTGCACTCCAATCTGGGCAAGAGAGTGAGACTTTGTCTCTTAAAAAAAAAAAGAAAGAAAAGGGATAGTTGGGACTTCTATTTTTAAAGAAACAAGTTATTTGGTGTTGGTAGCTAAAGAGCAACATTGTGTCTTAAGCCAATCAATGCTAAATAAAAGGTAGCACTCACCCTTCCTTCCTCCATCCCTCCCTCCCTCTCTTCCTCCAGCAGAGGCTTAAAAGTTAAGCAGAGACTTGCTGTTCCTGAAAGTCTAACCTACTGATCATTTAAATTATTTATACTATGGAAGGGAACTTGAGAGAATCTCTGGGAAGAAGCCCCTGGTTGAGCCATAGGCTTGTATGTTGCCTTAACAGTAACAGTTGTGGAGTTTGAGTAATGCATTTGTGAGGATCTAGTCATAAAATCCTGTTCTAGGTTTGGGTTTGAGCTACTTCCTTTCTACTGAACAGATAGATAAAACGAAAGATAGATATAAAATAAATAGAACATCACCAATAAACTTCAAAGGCCTTTTCTTTGTCTCCCTAATCCTATTTCCCTCTCCTCTGAGACAAACACCATCATAAATTTGGTGTGTACTTTTCCCCATGTACTGTGTATCCTTTTATAGTTTTACTACATGTACTGGTTGCCATGAATGATAACAATTTTGCTTTTTGTGTTTTTCGATTTTACTTGGTTTCAGCATTTGTTTCTGAGCTGTCTCCAGGTTGCCCACTTCTACACCTAGTGCGTTACTTTTACCTGTTCTGCGGTATGCCCTCATATTTTACTGTCATGCGAATGGACTGTCAGGTTAACAGTGCTTTGCTGGAACAGACAGAGCAGCACACAAGGCACATGGGCTCTGCCACCTACTAGCTCTGCAACCTTGGACAAATTACCTGACCTTTCTGTCCGTGATTTCCTCATTTGTAATTTGGAGGAAAATAGTATCTACTTCTAAGAGTTGTGAGGATTAAATGAAGCAAGCACTTAGAACAGTGCCTGACATAGTGGGAACAGAATGTGAACCATCATTACCAAGGGATCAAACCTGGACGTATCTGCTGGGTCACAGCTTGAACACGACTGTGACATTCCTCTCCAAAATGGTGATATCAACTTACACTCCCAGTGGTGGTGCCTGAAATTTCCTCAGTTCCCACGAACTCACTAACACAAGAGTTTTGAGATTTCCCTCCCCCACTGATGGGATGAAAGTAGTTCATTTGTTACTGGGAACAGCATTGTTGCTTGGATGAAATCTGCTTTAAAACGGGGTTGCCATCTAGTGGCAGGAGAAGTGCACTGCAGCTATGGAGCAGAAGCCAAAAATGGGCAGACCTCCGTGTATCTGAGGGCAATTTGGGCATTATGGTCACTAATGTTAGTCAGCTTTCAATCACGTCAACTACGTGAAAGTTCTCCCATTATCTACTCCCCGTCTTCAGGCAGCTTGTACTTCTCACTTTTTCTATTACAGTGACATGGAGCCTTTTCTCTAAAACCAAGACAAAAGACCCATCTGCACAGTCCAGTGAGGCCTCTTACAGCCAAATGCATCTGGGTCATTGGCTCAGAAAAGTGGAGTGGCAGAAATTAGGAGTGAGAGAGCGTTTATCAAACTGGCAGGAGACTGCAGCTCCAACCAGAGCAGGCTTTCCCAGAGCCATGCTAAATCTCTAGCAGGAGAGATGGTAATGCGCACATTGGTGCTGGTCACGTGAACCACCACAGAGGATTGAGCTGACTGTGCTTCTGAGAGTCCCAATTAATGTCTTTCCAAATCAGCCATGGACTGTGCTCGAAAACTTCTAAAATCATAGTCTAGGCCAAGCATGGTGGCTCACGCCTGTAATCCTAGCACTCTGGGAGGCTGAGATGGGATTGCTTGAGGTCAGGAGTTCGAAACCAGCCTGTGCAAGAGTGAGACCCCCTCATCTTTACTAAAAATAGAAAAAATTAGCTGGACAACTGAAAATAAAAACAAAAAATTAGCTGGGTGTGGTGGCAAGCACTGTAGTTCCAGCTACCCGGGAGGCTGAGGCAGGAGGATCAC